GGCTGCCGCCGCGGCCGAGAGCTGGGCCCTGGGCCTGGAAAGGTGGTTTCGGGATTGAATGACAAGCACCAGATGGAAGCATTTCTAGTTAGTTCCTTCCTCGCTTTTTCTGATCATTTTCTTAATATTACCCCTCGGATCAGTGAAAACAACGTTTGCTTTGTTTTTTAAGCTCTTTGAAAATTATTTAAAACGCCTAAAAATTCTTTTCTGGAAAAAAACCCCAAACCCCTTTTTTTTAGAAATGAAATGAATATCTGAAATGCCATAGAACTCCAAAAATTAAATAATTAATTTATGCCAATTGCCTGCCTAGCCCAGTTCAAAAGTATAAAATAGGAAAAAAAATGCTAATACATGAAAGACATTCTTATTTTTTCCTTGAAAAAATAAAACGTATTTAAAATTAGTAGGTTAGCTTATTTTTCATTTGCTGAAAATTTTACTGGGATTTCCCTCCCCAGAGATTTTAGCTGTAAGTAGAAGTTTTTCTTTGAACTGGTTTAAACTAAGGCCCTCTTTCTTGTCACGCACAGACAGGGAAATACTGCAAGATGCTGGATTAGCTTGTTCGCTTTTCATTGTTTTCTTTTGTAGCAGCAATCCGTTTAGCTATGGTATGCTGAGTTTATCTGATTAGCACTTAGTGAGTGAAGGGAATAGGGGAAATGTTGCCTGAGTTACTTAAGCCTAATAAAGTGTTCGGTACCTTCCCCCTCTTTCTAAATACCTGAACTTTCCTGACCCCCACCCCTTGCTTTTTCCATCAATTGCAGCTCGTTCCCATACGAAATGCGCTCCCCCTGCAGCTTTGGTGCTGTGGTGCCATTAGCCGGATTTTGTTCAGTGCACATTGGTCACAACATGCATCCTGCTCAACACTATTTGACAGTCTGTCTGGAGCTCTTACAAGTTCAACTCCTGTTGTTGTGCTGACTCGCATGCCTTACCTGGGAACACTTACTGACTAAAAATGCAACAACCTGTAGCATGAGTATTTCTAACTTAAAACCATTAGGTATAACTGTAAGCAATAAAATAATTTCTTTAGTTATGTTAGCAGTGACATTTTAATGAGGATTCACTGAGGCTTGAGTAATTACACTATATAAAGAAATTCAAGAAAGCTGAAGTTTAGTAATGCTTAAAAACTGTGTGTGCCATACAGATTGCGGGTCTGTTACCATAATTAACTTGATAAGTTTCTTGCATAATTCTCATGTTTTCCTCTGGACTTCAACTTGATTTCCCTCTTTTAGGATTAATTTTTGTTTTAATTTGACATTGCGTTGTAAAATTTTTAATACAAAAGCAAAATTCTGAAAAATTTAGAGAAATCATCTATATTAGTTTATGCTGCTTAAATATATCTTTGTTAGTTTTATACAGAAGCGCAAAGTTGTCTTAATACCAATGAAAATATGTCCAAGGAAAGTACAATTGACGTCTATGCAAGAGATTCCTTATGCATAGTAGGTTCTATAGCTCTTGAAGTAATAAGGAAAAAGCAATAGAAGTTTAGGTGGAGTGTCAATAAGACAACAGTGTTGCTTAGGAAATCTGAATCTTTACAGGTAGGGACCTCTGAAAATATTTTCAGTTATACCTGCTTAACAATACAAATTTTTAATAGAAATGATCTCACATTTCTTTTAGCACTGTCAGTGTTCCCAATTTATAATAATAATAGTGATAATAACAGTAATAATAATAATCTTAGCAATAGGCAGCTAGTAATTGCAGTAGTGATCCTGTTAGAGCAGAACGTGTCTGTATGTTTTTAAATAATTTTAAAGATATTAAAAGAATGTTTTTTTTAGGAATGCACCAAGGTGTTTGAGAAGGGTAGAAGATGACTGTTAACGATTTTTGAGGTCTGCACAGCTTTCTGCTGAGCACGCCCCAAGGATTTGCCTTCCTGGGTGAGGTGCCGTGGCTGGTGGTGTTCACGTTCCCAGTGCATTGCAATGCAGAGCACAATGTCTCCAGTTAAACTGCTGTCAATGCTGGAACGGGTCTGGAAGTGTCCCACTCTGATCTAAATGGTAGAAATTTTGGAGGAGAAATCCCTGGGTTTTCACTTCACTGACAGCCCAAATAGTGTCATTTAAACAACTTCTTGTTTCCATTATTTTCTTTTGTTTTGTTTTTTTGTCTGCTCCTGAATATGTACAGCTCATGCCAAACTTCTATCCAGCCATCAAGATGGAAGAAAAAGAGGTGTTAATCTGTGAATTAGGTATTGAAATATTTTGTAATTTGATTCAAAGGTTTATTTAAATCATGAAAAGTATGTGTGTGTGTTTTTCTTTTCCCCTCTCAGGTTTGCAATTATGTGTGGCTATATGTCTCAGTTTGAAAGTGTACAAAACAAAATCAGGAATGGTTATCTCTTTAAGGTATGTTTCTGTAGGGTTTTGCGTTTTTTTAAGCTATTCCTTAATTATTTCCTTATATAGTGTCTAAGACAGATTTGTCCAACACAGTAATTCAGCCTCACAGGTCTATCTTGGTACCGATGTTAAAGTGAAAAAGTTATTTTTATGTATGTAAATAGATGATATGCTTACAAAATATAAGAACTGAGGTAGGATTCTGGGAACAGCATTAAGATTTCTGTTTTATTTTGTAGTCAAAGCGGGGAGGAAAAGGGAGTAACAATTATGTTTAGAAAATAAAAACAATTGAAATATTAAGTGATGAACTAACACAGTTCTGTAATCATCCTTCATGCCACCCTTAAGAAGTAATATTTGTTTTAACATTGTCCTTTCAAAGGTAATTGTGGTTTTTAGAGTTAGGAGTTTGTGTTACATGTGCTGCTCTCCCCCTCCTTGTCCTCGGCATCGCTTAGGCACTTTCCATCCCTTGCCCTCCGAGCCGGCGTCCCCCCTTTCTGGGTGTCAGTGAGAGGCAGCAGACGTGTTCCACTTCCCAGGGAATGCCCGGGATGGGTCTCTATCACATCATGTCCATGTTAGGACTTGGAGTGTCGTGGAGCTTTCCTGTGAGAGAGCATTAATTACATCTGAGCTGTGCCAAGCGAGCTAAGCCCCAAGCGTTGGGACAAGCTAGGAACGAAGGGAAAATGACAAACAACGCAAGTGCTGCAGTTGTTTAAGGATGGAGTTTAAAAAGAGCCCACAGTGTTAGCAGTAGCCTTTGCAGGGAGGTTTTCCTCTTCAGAAGTAATTACTGAAATCTGTGAATCATTTGGAAATGGATTTGGGAAAATAATAGCATGAAAACATAGCTCCTATCTGAATATTTTGTGGACTCTTAGGCTCTTAGGTCTGTATAACTCAGCTATTTTAGTGACTGGCTTAATTAGAAAAACAGAGATATCTGGGGGAAAAAAAGAAGAAACCTTAAAAGTGAAATTTATTTTGAGAGGCAAATGGTAGTTAGGGGTGAAATAACGTATTTCTTTTTTCTTCAAACTCAGGTTGAGCAATAAGAGCTTTCTTTAGTAAATTGGAGTGAAATAAAGATACTCATGACCTGTAATGAAAATGGTTTTGGAAGAAGCACCTACTTAGATGCTTTCTAGGTTTTATGGTTTCACTATAAACAGAGCCATTTTATTTTCTGAATTTCACGTTACAGTAACAATTTGCTGTGTCATGTACCATTTCATTGGGGCAATCACATTCCAGGGTGGAAGAGTCTATGCTTCAGTGATGGGTGCTGGCTTGTAAGATCTATCAAAGAGAGTCGTTGCTTTCTGACTGATTTGGTGTGTGACAGTTTTCTAATACTACCTGTAAATAAAATGAATTTAATTGAAGTTGTTGCCTTTTTAAGACAAAAGTTCTTGAGTTCTTTGATTGAACTTTAGAGCTGCTTAGTCATGTGCTAAATACAGCATGCCTTCTTGCATTGCGTGCAAAGTTGCTAAATAATTTTGGTTCCCTCCATGAGGAAGGGGTTTGCTAGTTAAAATATTTTTAGGTTGTTAGAAGAGAATTGCAGCAGAAAAGAATTTCTGAATTTGTTTATGATTTGCAGCAAACTTCTTAGAATGTAAACACACTTGCCAAACAAACATCTAAAGTGACACTGATTTTCTTTCTAATAGGAGCACCTAGACAAAGCAATTGAACTTAAGCCTCAAGATCCTTTTTTATATTACCTAAATGGAAGATGGTGCTATTCAGTAAGTTGTTTTTTTATCTAACATATGAATTGAGTATACTGAAAAATGGTAATGCATTTGAAATGAAATAGTGGGACTTAAGACAAAATAGGTGTTTATTGAAGTAGATGTTTTGAGCTAAATGAAGCAGTACATTTACATTTCCTGAATTAATTTCCACATGTGTGATGTTAACTGCTGACCATTCCTGTCCTGTACATTAAGTAAGCTGTGCTTGTATGTCCCTCATTGTTGTGTTCATGTTTCTTATCTGAATGTATGAATGAAAAGTAACTGATATTTGGAAGGGAGGAAGGGTGACCTCTGGTATTGTAAGCCTTGATTTCAGTTCTTTATTCTGCCACAAACTTTCTGGGTGACCTTGGGCTGGTAGCATAGCCTTTTGGTAACTTTATTGCCCATCCATAACTGAAGTTAAAGGCACTTACATGCTGTGGGATTATGGCTGTGGCAGCAAGGCTACCATGTCGGCTTGGTAAATTCCAGGAGAATGTCACAACAAAGATGCAGGCATAAAAATCTATAATTCATCAAAAAGTTTTGCAAGAGATACAATTTGTGTTATGCCAACACAACAGGTGCTCTTAAATATTGTGTTAATGACATAGTGATAAGTACTCATATACGAAAAATTAAAATAATTGTTTTACAAACTTAACTGTTGATTAATTTTAATTTTTTTTTTTTTTTTGAAAAATGGTGCTTGTATTTGTAATGTAAGAGTTGTCTTGTTCTTAAGCCCACATCTATGATGGCTCAGATGGCTATCCTTATTGCTTAATCTTTAGTGCTGTGAGGAATCTTTTGTCAGAAGAAAATGTTCTTGCATAGTCCATGCTGTAAAAGATCACTGGGAGGCTTCTCAGAATAATAATGCACAGTGAATTCCAGCCCTGCCTTTTTCCTCCAGCTACTTCCAATGCTAGTCACTACGAAGTGCCTGCAGACTGGGAAGAAGGAGTTGCTGTGATACATTGCAGCCTTTGACTTTGTCTTTGTCTGCAACAAGACTTAATGCAAAGTAATCTTTCAGCAGTTTTTTCAGATCATATATTTAACTTTCAAAGATCTTTCAGCAACTACATTTTTTCTCAATTGATTTGAATAAGGAATGACACCAACTTTTTCAAAGAGCTTTTCATTTTGGTTTTCATCATACTGTATTCTTGATTATCAACATTAGCTATGCAAAAGTGAGTTGCTGAAGATTGGCCTATAGAATGCTTGCTGTCCTGCCTTTGAAGAGCATCTCTCTCACCAGTGATTCCTTAAGCATTTTTATACTGTATGGTGTCCAACAGCTGACTGCACCTTCCATTTATGTCAAACACTCCCAGATGTTTTTCATGGCTTATTTCTCACTTGAGCTATCGCTTTTGGAAAATTTACATGTAATCTCAGTATACCTCACTTTGTTCTTATTGCACTGGTTTTTTTACTCTCGTTTCATTTTAGTGACAGTCACCACTTCCTGACTAATACATGTGGTTTGTTGCGCTGTATCATTACAAACTCATGTTCCACACTTGCAGCATCTATGCAGGGCTTCCTTACTGAACATTAAAGCCACAGATTAGCACTTGCTTTAGGGTATGACCTGACCTGCATTTTATTAAGTGAAACAATCCACCTAAACAGATGTAGCCACTGAAATACTTAAGGATTTGTCCCTTTTTTTCTTCTTTTTTTTTTTTTTTCTTTAAATTCTTGCCTTCTGTGACTGTCTTGATGGCCACAAAATAGTAACTGCAAAAACTTAGAACAGATTTTCATAGTACAAATAAATGCAAATATAGGACTGAATAACATCTTGTTTTAACTTCTGGGGCTGTCAGCTCTTAAAAACTTTCTGTCATTTGGGAACATTAGTTTTGGAGCTCTACTATGGAAACTAGGTCTTAATCCTAGCCCAGTGAAGTTGGTGATATCCTCATTAGTTTTAGCAGACTGTATGAATAGGTTTCTGTGCTGATCCACTAATACAGGTTTTGGCCATGCATGTCAATAGTCTTAAAAGCTTGTGGAAGATGTGGCAAATTCCTTGGTCCTATTCTGCAGACTGTGGTGTTTCATGCTGTGGTAATTATCCCAGAAGTAGACTGTTGGCTGTGGCATTGATACCAAATACTTCTTCAGAGTAGGGATTAAGATAGGGATTATGTATTGAAAAATACATTTATCACTTCTTCTCTATGCTGGTACCTGTAGATGGAGTGATAATGCTCGTTTTAGACCTTCTGTTTTTTCTGTTTAGTCTAGATGAGGTTGAGGCTGGGAAGGCTGTGTTGTCCAATGTGAGGAAATTAAAGAAGAAAAACGGATGACTGAGGAAAGAAGGTTATTTTTTATATTTAGCCTAGCTGACTTTGGGTTCCAGTAAGGACTGGCCACAATATTTGTTCTTTCACAAGTGTTGCTTCCAGGGGCATTATTGTCTGGTTTTAGTCACATATTGTTCTACTGAAGCAGTGTAGTTAAAAAAGATAACTAGCGTTTGATACTTTCTAGGCTTTGATAACATTTTTGGGAAACGTGATGTACTTAAGTCTTCCTAGGATGGTCAGATGCTTCCCATTCACTCCCCATTTAATGTTGGGGGATCTTATTACTATCTTTTAGTGTTGTTTTTTGCGGTAACACACTGAAAAAAATAGGTAGAGCATAAGAGACTGCAAAAGGGAATGCTTTGAGTGTTGTAAATCTGGGCTCCAGTTCATTTTCACAAATGAAAATCAGTTGAACAGACTTTTTAAGTAAAAAATACAGTGGAGGCAAATGGAGAAGATTTATTGAAGGCTGAAATCTATATCCAGAGACTGCATGCTGTACTCATAAAGCTATTTGATTTGTAGTGTTTTGCCAGCATCTGGCTCTGACTGCCATTTCTCACCTTCCTCAGTTTAACACAGTCCTTTGCGAAGAGCAATGGTACGGCAATGCCAAGTTTCTTACTCAGCAGTTATTCTTGCTGGGCCAGATCCGAAGCTGATGCAAAGTGTCATAGCACCTTCCAGCAGGAGGGATGAGCTGGATTTTCACTGCCTCGCAGCAGTGGGGGTTTGTCTTTGATGCAGAGACAGTGACAGTTGTGTGCTACCTTGTCTAAAAATCCATTTTTGCTGTTTCTTATTTCTCTTACCATTATAAAGCCAGTAGAGCTATACAAAAGAGGAAGATTCTGTTCTGATGTGTGTATCATCTCAGATTTGTTAGAAAATTGCTTCTGGTATCACAATCAGGTAGGCAAGATTTTCACCAATCATTTCATAGATGTCATGATGGGCAAAATTTTGCCCGTGAGACCTGCTGTGTATACAAGAAGACACGTATAGCTCTAATGTTTTTTGTTTTGTTTTGCAGAGGTGACAAGGGGAAAAAAAAGCCCTATTTATTTATGCATTGAGCAAGCATAATTGAACACCACTAGTAATGGATAACTGCAGAATCCTACCAAATGTTATTTGAATATTCCTTTTTCCAGAGCTGTACGAACTTCTTCGTAGTGGTAATTTTTTCCGGGGTAGCTTTAGTGATAATGTTAGGAAAAGGTGATTACCATATAATTCTAATGAAGATACTTTAAAATATCTAGTAAGCAAAGCAAACCAGTGTTTAGTATGTAAAAGAGATGTTACTATTCCAAAGAAAAACAACTGCAGCAAAATAATTTTCTTTTAAAATGTCTTTGGTAGTGGATGAAACTTTTTCTTCTCAGCCTTCTGTGACAAAAACAGGCTTTGTACGTATCTTTTAGGGAAGGTTTAATGTTTTAAATACATGCTTGGGTTAGTTCATATGATTTAAAATAAGTACAGTGTTTAGAGCATTTCAAGTTTCAGCTTTGTTTTTGTTAAGGGAAAGTGAAAACTACTTTGCTCTTCAGATCAGCAAGAAATATTTATTGGAAGTGAATTGATCTGTGGTGCATGATGTATAGGAATTAGTTTTCTTTCCTTAGAGTTTTGGGTGGAATCATCTGATAATCCTTTATAATTGTGTGTTTGTGGGGTTTTTTTAGTGTTTAATATTTAGAATAGCTTTTAAAACGGAGTACGTATCTAGTTAAGACTTATGGCTACTTGCCATTACAGGACTGACACAGAACAGTTAGCGTATACTTGTGAAACTGGATCAGAGCCTCTGGTAAATGCTAGTGGGGTGTTAAAAATCAGATCTCTTGGGATTTTCTTTTTGCAGGTTACATGCCATGTGTTGGATTCATCTCTGGTGTATCCCAGTATCTGTTTGGGTTACATCAGGGAACAAATTGACCCAGTTCCTTTGTCTCTGTGCTCTATAAGTCTGCTCCCCTTACTGGAAAGCGAAAAGCCCAGGGAATTCAAGTTGGATAAATGCCTAAATGCCTGTGCAGACTGTCCTGGTTCCTCAGCTGGCAAGAAAGAGAATATTTGTGTTGGAAGCCAGTATTTTAAAACTGCTGTCCAGTTACTTAATCTCTTCCAGAAGTCAAAACATTGCAAAATTATTTAATACAATTTTACGTTAATATATTGTAATAAAAAAGAAAAAGAAACTCTCTGGGGATATTTAAGTAGGTGCCATTAATATTTTACTGAAGTTGGATCAATGGGATGATTTTCCTTTATGAAAGACAATTGCGTGATCTGTCTTCAGTGAGCTATTAGCAAGGAAACATTGGAGGAGGAAATCCTTTAGAGCTGCAAGTCAATCCTGGCTGAATTTTCAATCTAAGTCGGTTAGTTTCCTTAGTACCAACATCCTGGTATTTGAAAAGAGCTGTCAGTGGGCAGGGTTTGCATCTCATCAAAACCAAACAGAAGACAAAAACAAAAAACCAAACTCCAGCCAGTGTTTTAGTTCATATGTGATTTTTGCTGATCCTAGGCTAAGGAAGAGAAAGGGATGTTAGGAAATCCCTTTTCCCAGTATTTAGGCCTGATAGGAGCGTGCTGGGTACGAACTTCACGGTCAGCTGCAGTTTAACTCTGTGAGTGGCTTTCTTCCATCTCTGGTATTAGTAGAGATTTGGGTAGAATAAATGGATGCGAGCTTGCTGTTTGATAGATCTATAGGAGAGATTGTTTGAGACAAGCATCTCTGTTAGCTTTGGGATACTGAAGAATGGCCTCCTGTCCTTGGCAGGGGCCAGGCTGTCACGGTGACCCACTCCCCTCTAGCCCTAGGAAGGTTCAGGACTTGGCTGATGCTCCCTCAGGCCCTTGTTTTTCGCTCTTGAGCTAGTGGGACTAGCTCTCCTCATGTATGGCAGCTGGGGAGCGGTGTTCGTCAAGTGACACAGTACATTAAAACCTGATATTCTGTGGAAACACAGTGTTCCTTGCAGTGTTCTTGTGAACTTTTGGGCTGCTGGGGGGACTGACGTCAGGGCTTGGGAGACCTAAAAAACCAGAAGTCACTTAAGGTTTGGAAATCATCTGTAAGGCAAGAGCAATCTTCATTCTTTAATTTTGTTGTTGTTGTTGTAGCTGTTACTGCTGCAGTAGCTGTTTTTCTTATTACTTTCTGCTGTCCTGTACCATTCTTGGAATATGCATTAAGTGAATTCATGGTTCGGCTGAAGTTGATGACAGTTACAGTCTCTTTGTACTTGATTTTGTATGGACCTTCAGATGTGCTTTGCACTGTTTGGCATAGCCTTGACTGTAGAAGTCAAATTTGCACTACACTAGAACATGCTACACCAGGGTTTCTGTTGCCTGTGCTTGCTCATACACAGAGAATGCTTAATAAAGTTAGTTGGCATAGTAGGAATGATGTTTCCATTTCACTGAACATGGCATAAGATTTACTCTAATAAAGTTATTTCAGATTAAAGACTGTGCTTGTTTAGGGGAAGGGTATAATTTCCTGTTCATCATTATTGCTCCAGGACACAATTTTGTGTCTTGCGTAAAACAGGTCTTTTCCATTTGTCGCACCTCAGTCTTAAGGGGGTGCAGGCTGACTCGGTGGGGCGTGCTTAAGCTGTTGTGATGGGATTCACCTCACCTGTTTTTAGCCATCCACAAGGTATAATTGTCTATGCTCCTTTTGTAGTTGAAGGAAAGAAAGAAGAGAAAGAGAGGAGTGTTCATCCCAGGCTAATGTAGACGAAGAAGAATTGCCAACATATATATATTATTTGGGCTTTTTAAAGTTTGAATAATGCAAAGCAGCACCCAAGCCAGACAAAAGAAGGACTAAAACCTCAGTAAATCAATTCTGATTAAATCTTGTAAGAAAATAAAACAACTGCCAGGAAGAGCTTGTGTTTTCCATAGGTAATTACAACTCCACATGGAAAAACTGCAATTTTGTTTCCTCACTGTTGCGTAACAGCAGACACGTGTGTGGTAATTGTATCTGTGCAGTGTATGTGTATATCCAGGGTGTTGTGTGGTCTTGCAGAGAACAGTGTAAGCATATACATTCCCTTTTATTTTTTTCCCCTCTCTTCCTCCCTCTGTAAGCTACCTCTATCTTGATGTGATGGACCTAGAAATATAGAAACCCACTTCCTCTTCCAAAAGAATAATGAATACTGCAGCAGTAGATTGGCATGAAGAAAACAATATTTTTGCAAAAATCCTTTTAATATCTCTTGCAGAATATGTCTCAGAAACTATAGAGCAGCTAGGGAAATGAAGTGTGTGAGGAAATTATATACGTACCTACAATTTGAAGTTTTAACCAGCATGCTGCAGTTTGTTACACAGTGTGAAAGCCCTGCAGTGCAGAGAGGGGAAACATCTTGTTGCTTCAATGAATAAGAACTCTGGGATTGCTGGAGAGCTTTTGTAAAAACCACTTCATTCCCTTAGAAGAGGCTTCAAGAGTGGAATATGTGAGAGAGAGAGAGAATGAAAAAAAGCTTTATATTGTTAATATTGTTTCTCTCTGGAATATAATTTTTAGTGGTTTTGTGTGAAAGACTTACTGACGGCATTTAACAAATAAGGCATTGGAGCCCGAACAACCAGCAAGACTTGACCAGGATGCCTTCTGTCTCCAAGCAATGTTGCTCTTACGTAGCTAGAGTCATTGGGACCAGATGTGAAAACATGGTCCTATGTGTTTCCTGTTGCGTGGTGGCCTGTATTTGTACTCTTTGCAATGGTATTTTTAGGGCAGTTTGCAACAAGAAATTCATAGAGCTTGATGTCTGCTCAAAAGAGAAGCATTCTGGTTGATGGCTGTGGATATGGATGGATTCTTATAATTTCCCATAATTAACTGACATCTACTGGATAATTGCTGGATTTAGCTGGAGAAGCCAGGGGGAGCAGCAACAGCCCTGAAAAGATTGGGAAGCCAGGGAATGAGGTGGGAATAATCTAAAGCTATCCAAAACCATTTTAATTTTTACAGCAGTAGGACAGACTTGAGTTCAAGGCTCAACTCTGTTATATGAATTGCAGCTCCCTCTGAAAAAGAGATGTCCCTATATGTGACTCATATCCAGGTCTCCGATGAGAGGCTCTCTTTCTTTGCCTGTGTAGTATCCCTTCTCTGTGTTGCCTCTACATAGATCAGGCCAGAAATTTCTAGGAAAACACAGAACCTTTTTTTTTTTTACCATTTTTAAACTCAGCTGTACTCTCTGACAGGAGCCATCAGTGCTGTGGTTCAAATACTGATGTGAAGGAATAAAGTCCTGACTTTTCTTTCCAGATGTAGTAGAAGTGTCCAAAGGAGGGTGGCTTCACTTCTCCATTTAAATAGGCTCGTCTCGCATTAAATGTCTTAGCAGCTCCGTCCTTCGTTAGAGATGTGAGGTGTGTTTCGCCAGGTTAGGTGATGGAGTCAAACACCTTATGGCAGTAACCAGAGCAGTTTCTGTCAGGTGTCAGTACATTGTGTGGCAATATGACAGTTCCCTGAAGTCCTTTTATAGCAGCCCATCTTCCTGAAATGAGAAGCGGTCTTTGGCAAGTGTTATTTGTCAGATTTGAAGAGGAAAAAATGAAGCCTGTTCTTAACAGTGGTTGTTGCCAGCTTCTGTGTAATAAATGAACTTGTTTTACAAGCGCCAAAAGCACTCAGATTTTGTCTGTAGCAACAGCTTTTCGTAATGTTGAAAAGTAGTCAAGTTCATGGACTATCATGCTAAGCTGTCTGTGTCATGAAAGCCTTAACAGATTTAAAGCACTATTTCTAGCCTTAGAAATGGCAAAGTCTTATGAAACCTAAACTGCACTTTAAGCTTTGTACGTTGGAATAATCTCGTATCAATGATGTTGGTGTTTTGTCATGTATTTCTTAATGTGTATATTTTCCTGTTAACAGAATTTAAAACCAAAAGACTATGCTTTGAGCTGGCAAATCAACAGTATAAAACATTCCTTTACAGGTTCTTTTGCAAAATAGGTTGTATTAGTAGTACAGTGGCAGAGGAGAGTATTTACTCCAAAACAAAAGACTTTTGATTTTTTTTTTTTTTGTTTTTTTTATTATTATAGGTAGCTCAGTTGTCTTGGATTGAAAAGAAAGTAGCTGCTGCTCTCTTTGGGACTCCACCAACTTCAACAGTAGAAGAAGCATTGCAGAATTTCCTTAAGGCAAGTCTTAGCCAAGGGTTTTCCTGTGAGACTGTTTACCAAATGCTATATGTGACTGTTGTCAAGATGTCTGCTCAACAGATTATGTTCAGTAGCTATAAATCCAGGGCCCTCCTAAATACCACAGAGCTCTCTACTAAAATATTTTTTCTTTTCTATTTTAAAATTAGTTTCAAGATGAGTGGCTAGCACCTTTCTTCTCTTTCTTTAGTTTTAGGGAATTCTTCAATGACTTGCCATGGTTAATAGTTATTGGATTTAATGTGAGATGGATATAGATTAGTTACATATTTCATTGAAACAAATTAACCATAGTGATAACCGATGATTTGCCCATTTCTGCAAGAAGGTTAACATAGGCACGGAAAACTTTGACATTGTGACACTCTCTTTTTCTGATCTGAAGCTCTCTCTTCAAGCCTTTCTTGGTGGAGATGAGATTACCTTTGTAGTGAAGTAGAAGAGAAAGCTCTGTCATACAGGTCCATGTTCCTGGGCATTCTACTTGAATGCAGTTGTAAGAAAACCCTACATGAATAAAATAAACCCGTCTTTTAGGGTCTTTTATATTAATCATTTCTACTTCTGGAGCTGAAAAATCCAACTTTTTCGCTTGACTGAATTCAAAGCATAAACTTCCATCACTACAATTACTTTCAGACAGTTTCTCAAAGGAATTGGACAAGCATATTTTCTTCACTATCAAAAGTGCTTGTTTTCTGTGTTCTTAGTCTATTTAAAGATGGAACGATCTCCTGAATTTTGGATAATACAATACATTACCATCTTCCCAGTTTAAGAGATTTTATCTTTAAGGGCAAACTCCAAAGGTGGTAGAAAGAATTTGAAATGTTCACTTTAGCTTCAGGGTATTTTGTGGTGGGCTGCAGAGTAATTGTGGTTTTAAGTCATCTTCTACAACAAAAAATATATTACTGTCTAAAAGGCAACTGTTTGGGTTTCTTTTTCAGTTGTTTGATAATACACAGTTGTAGTAAAAGCAGCATTGTTTTGGTCCAAGGATTACAGCTACTATAAATTTCACTGATGTAATTTTTCTCCCCCAAAAACTGTTTGTTGATTAAAGCTGTGTCTTGGTTAGTAGATAATTGGTAAGGTTTTTAATCATCTTTCAAGCTTCTGCATCCTTGATGTGTTTTAAAAGGAAGACAATCTTGAACTGTTTTAATGACCTGAACTTTTCAGAAGATGGTAATGTGAACAAAAAGGTGAACCTAGAGCTAGAAGAATGGGTCTGTGAAAGAAAAATAATTGTAAAGTTGATGAATACAGTTCATTACCCGTTACACAAAGTGTGAATGGTTGGTTGCTTGTTTATTTCTTTGATGAGGAAATAAATATTAATAATGTAGAGAGAGCAGTGTCTTCCAACCCACTGTGTAAGTGAAAGAATCCAACAGATATTCTACAGAATGATCCAATATCTTTAGAAAGCACTTACGGAGAGAGGAGAGCAAGAAGTACAGAACATTTTTATGTGTTCAGTATCAGCACTCATGTGCCTGGTTTAGGGTTTGGGTTTTGGGTTTTCTTGTTTTCTTGAGGTTTTTTTTGAAGTGCTAAACAGATTGTGGTGCACACAGTAGGGATGATTGAGTCTGATGTTTGAGGAAGCTTAGTGCATTACTAAAAATGCTATGCAGACCACATAAATCTCATCACACAAGTTTTATGTCTATTTTTTTTCCTGTTTTTTATTATTTAGGCAGAAGAAATGCGTCCAGGATATTCCAAATACAATTATGTGTATTTGGCAAAGGTAACCAAGTTCTTTTAAAAATAATGATTTGTAGACTCTGGTATTCTTACAGTGGTCTGACTGGAAACAAAATGTTTTTTCTTCTCAGTGCTATAAAGATCTTGGCCAGAAAAACAATGCACTGAAGTACTGTGATTCTGCACTGTCAATTCTCTCAGTTACTAATGAGGTGGGTATTGAGAGTGATAACTCTTTCTCTTGTGACCGCTGTCTTGTCTTTGGCACCCATTGTTGCACTGTCAGTAATAACATAATGTTTCACTTTTTCCTCTGAACACAGAACCTTCCTCTTACCTTCCACTCTAGGTTGGCTCATTACAATTGTCTGTATCTACAGCTTTAAAAAAATCTTTGTTTGGGGAACTGTCAGGGACTTGTCTGTGTCAGAAGCTGTCAGAAATTGAATTGCATTCTTTGTAATTCAACCCATTTCGTTAGACTATCTTAAGCAATAAGCAGTTGAGCGTGTCACTCTAGCTGTGCTGAAATTTTGCCCCAGACCTACTTTTTCTCAGTTGAAAGCATTCTGAATTTTTGTCCCACAGTCGCTATTTCTGCTCCTGAAAGCCTCTGGTTTGTGATTCTGGTCAAGGCCTCCAGGGCAGTGTGTTAGCTATAGCAGAGGTAGAGGAGTTATTCAAGATTGCCTTTGTCTTCAACCACAGTGCAGTTAAAGAGGCACAGTTCTTCCAGTTACATCTACTGGAACATAGTTTGTTCTACGAGATTATTAGATTCCTTCGTAGGCCCTTTAGAGTATTTTTAGTACGTGGACGCAAAATTTCTACAGATATTTGAGAGATTTTAAGTGATTTAATTTCTCAAATATAAACCAAGTCATGGCAAGAAGGTTCACTCTGTCTGATCTCGTGTAGAAGCAAGTTCCATAATTACCGACCTATGACTGGAAACGTTTTACCATCCTAGAGCGTGACAAGTTCAAACCTGAGCTTTGTCAGCCTAAGGGACCCCCTTTGAGCACCGCAGATGTGGTAGGGAGAGAGAGAGGTGATTCCAGAGATGAATTGTTCCTATCCCATTTAATTCTTTGAAGTTAAGGGAAAAGACCATTAAATAGCTCTGTAACTTGATTGACAATAAATGCTGTGTGTGGAGCACTAACATGTTTATGTCAAGTGTTCCTGCTGGGAAGAAAGACCACTGCATGCCTCACCAGCAGCTGCTCCTGGGTGGCCTTTATTTTTGGCCCAAATTATAGTATGTACCAATCATACATTAAGCAATCATTGCTTAAGTTCAGTGTTTCTTTAAATATGTATTGATACAGATATGACATTAATAATCTCTTAACTCTGCTTTATTCTTTACTTACTGTTGAAATGTGCCTTCAGCTTGCCTATTACAGAATGTAGGAAAGACTGCACTAAATTATCCGTTACTTGGTACCTTACATCTTTGCATAAAAAGTAGGACCAATGGTGTAAGAGAGAGCATACAACTGAAATTGCTTTAACTCGGCCTGTTTTGTATATATCTGCAATGATTGTGCCAGTGAATTTGTTGTTTTTCCCGTATTCAACTTACTACAGGCCAGGTAATCTTGCAATCAACTCTGAAGCTATCTGGTAAAATTGGAAACAAACATATATCACAAAAACTTCTGCTGGGCAGAAGATTGCCTGTGTTTAGTAAACTGGAAGTCATTCAACATATTCATAAAGGCTCCTTGAAAAAGTATAGAGATAGCATAGATTGGGATTCATCTTTGATAACAATAGCTGGACAAAATTTTGGTGACCAAAGGTAGTTGATGAGGCCCTCCCTACACCCAGTGGAGATAGATGCATCCAGGTGCCTCACCCTGCCTCTCTCAGTCCCCTGATGGCAGAGAGAGAGACTAGATGTGAAGATATGTGTAAGATGTGTACCTGAGACACCTGACTCCTAGACTGTGCAGTTAATGAGAGACGAATCCTGCCTCTAAAGTCCAGCGTCATCCGTCTAAATGTGAGCTGGAGTTCAGTGTGTCCTGGGCCACCTGGAGGGACTTAGTCCCTGGTAAAAGGAATGCCCTATCACATTTCTGAAGTACTGGCAGACCTCAGGAGACACTGAGGTGAGAGCAGGAATTTGGGAGCAATCTCTGAGGGGGGGATGTGCGTATTCTGGCAAGCAGAGTGGTGATGAGAATAAGAATTATACTGGCTTGTGAACAGAAGAAAGAGTGGAAACGGGCCCCAAAAATCTTTTGTCCATCTGAAGAGGACAAGGTGATTTGTCCTCTTCTGTTTTGACTCATTCTGTAGATGTCACAGATTTGTCTGTTTGTCTTATTTACTTGTGATGTGTTTTAAGTTTAGAAAAAAATGTCCAGGAAAATGTGGCATTGGGGCAATAATATGTAATTCAATTTTAAAAAAAAAAAAAAAAAAGCAGTCAGCACAAGGTAAAACCAAGTGCATGCTGAAAGGAATTATAAAATAGAGATCTGGAACACAAACTCTGTTGATGCTAACTGTTACCTCAAGTCCCATATGAATTAGAATATTACGTGTTGGTTTGGTTATTGTGTTAGAGAAAGACTATTACTGATTTGGGGGAGAAACATGTTGGAACTGAAGTAGTTCAGGGCTTGGAGCTGTAGGAATAACATTTAGTCAGGTTAGTTTAAGGGAGGGGAGAGACTGTAATAAGACTAAAGAGACGTTGGGGAGACAGTAATAAATGGATGCTGATAAAGTGCCTGAACGGACTACAGCCCTGTAAAAGATGGGGTTCATGGTCTGAAATAGAAAATGCAGGTCAGCAGCAGTCTGAGGATTTATTTATTTGCCACAGCACAGGATCTCCAGGTTGTCAGCAGTGTGGTATGTTGTCACAGTCCTGTGAAATCCATCATGCCCAAATGTAATCATAGTTTCTCATGTGAGTTTTCTCTCTTTCTTCAGGCAGGGGAATTCCTTTATTGTTTTTAAATGTTGGCTTCTACTGTGAAACATGCATGTGTATAAAGGCATAAAATCAGGAGCAGACTGAGAGACAAAGCTGCTGGAAAGGTGCCACATTGAAGAAATGTATAGTATTTCATGATACAAATCATCCTGCAGCATAAGTATGAAAAATAATAGTAGACAATGGTTTACTTTTTATTGCTTCTGAGCATCCACAGTTTCCAGTGACTTCAGTGGGAACCAGAGGTGCTCGGCATCAGTAAAATAGCCCATAGCTCATTTTAATCCTCAGGTCAAATTTTCAGCTGGTCTAACTCAGGGCACTTCTTCGGCACTTTGTCTAGGATTCATTTCATGTAACATTTCAAGTTAAGTGAGATTATTTTTGTCTTGATGTTGTATCACATCCAAATATTCCTTCTGTGCATCTGTTCTACTGCTTACAGAGTATGTTTTTAATTCAAGGGATAGAGGGGCTTCCAAACAGAGGTAATTCTTGTTAAAGAAAAAAAAATAATCAGATGGCCAGTTTCAACCCTATTATGAATCTTAAAAAGGATACCAAAGAAATCATCAAAGAAGAGACAACTTTTGATTGAATGACTCCTGTAATTCCTAATACCAGTTTTTAAAAATAGTTTGGCACATTTTTAACTAATCAGTCTATGCATTTTTTTTATTTTAAAAGGAATACAGGAGATTTGGTGCAAATTACATCTGGAAAACAAAACTGATGTTCCAGTACTGCTTTAGAGACCTTTCTCTTTATCCTCTCTACTCTAAACAAAAACCTCCAATGAATCATACCGTCCTTCCTTGGCCGTAAATACTGTCATACTGTAGAGTGGTGCTTCACTGCTGGAGGTGCACGGGACATTAAATTGTCCTGCTTTTCTCTGGTGCTGTCCCGGTGAATAACCTCAGGGTCCTGGGAAACATTCACCCCCTCAGTAAAAGAGATCCTAATGTTCAAGGCTGCTGTGAGTTATCGTAAAGTGCATAACAGCTGCTCTGTTTATCTAGTAGATGTTGCATTACTCTTATTGAGACTCATTACTTTGTAGTGTGCTCAAAGCCTTGGTGAGTGTGACTACATGAAGGGCTGTCGAAACCAGATGTGGTGGACTACTGTGATGGAAAAAAATGACTTTTTTAAATTTGGGGAGAAAAATGTAATTTAAATTTGAAAACATAAGCATTTGTCTTGCATATAGAAAGACAAAACGAGTTTGGGGGGGTGTGCTTATTAAACACATAGCGCTTTGCACATAAGGGGAATAAGACACTAATTTCTTGTTTATAACAAAGGGTATTTTCAGGACTGGAACTTGTAGAGAATTAAAGTCTCAATGTAGGATTATAAAGTAGAATAGTAAAGAAATTATTGTTTCCCATATCTGGAGATGAACATGGGTGTGAGAGTGAACTCTGTGCTTGCTTGTAGGACCAGTAAGCTCACCATAAAGGGATTAACAGCCTAGCAGAGAAAGAGATTAAAATTTCAAGGTTCTGGTCTCTGTGACATTCTTGAAAATTAATCTAAAAAGCAGGAAAAAATGTGGTCTTGGAAGAGCCAAAGACAGCAAAGCAGGAAGAATGCAAAACAAATCTATTTGCACAGAGTGTTGCTGAAAGTCTTACTTAAAATGCAGATAAAAACTTCCCTGAAGCTGGAGAATGTATTTTACAAAATTATTGGTGATTTTAAAAAAATAATCTTAATTTCAAAAACCCTCCCTCCTTCCCCAAATGAAGGCAATTCGGAGTTGAAATTAACAAGTGAGAGAGGTTTAGATATTACCGAAATTGATCATTACGGCATTCAGTTCTTACAGGTGTAGAATGGCAGGAAGCAGAGACTTGTTAAAGACTCTACCTTCGGCCTCAGTGACATTTGAAACTCTAGAAAAGCCCATGTGCAGGAGGAGGTGAATGTAATAATGGGCAGGAACAATGGCTGAACGTTTACACAAGAATGCAGCTGCTGAGGAGAAATCATGCCCATAAGATTTTCTTGCATTTTTTTACGTCACCATAATTGATCACCCTGGTCATTAATTTACATTTTTAATACTGTCTGTAAGGAAAAGAGTGGGAGTTATAGAGGGATGGAAGAGAGGGCAGAGTATAGACTTCAGCACCCATCAGTTGTTCCTGTTACAACAGACCATTTGTATATCTTGAATTTTCCAAAACATATTTTCCAAGAAATGCCTACTCCAGCCACCGTATTGGTCATATGTTGCAGACCTTGCTG